AATAAGCTTAAGTGTTAACAAATTAAGATTACAGCCAGAAAAATATGAAGGAGAAGCCACCCACTGGTGACACTCCAGTAATCATACAAATTAAAAATATATATTATTAATTTGAATTTTTGATTTGTGAATTAGCTTATACCTTATAGTTGTACATATTATATCCAATCACCACGATCGTGTTCCCGAAGGTTGCTATAACATAACATAYTCTGATCGACACATTTAAAAATCAATATTTCTTTTTTTTTTCATCTATATAATAGACTTAACAATTAAGTACTAGACCGTTTTCAACAACAGTTTTTTCTCAATAGATTTTTTTGAGACCGATAAAGTTAATAGTTTCGTGTTTTTAGTTTCTACTCATATATAGGGTCGCTCGCTATAGGGTGGCTCATACATAAATTTTGTTTCGGCTTAAAAAAATCGAATTTAATTGTTTCTTTATTTATAGGATGGTTGTCATCGTTGGTAAAGATAATATACAAACGTTATTATACTTATTATAGTTGGAAATTATGTTCTGTAGGTACTATATTCCTTCTGTATTATATTTCGTGATTTAAGCTAATAAAGATATATTTTTATGTAGATATATAAATGTATAATTGAGTAATTGTTGTAATAATAGGTTTCGCGTAAGGAAAATAGTTACTATTTACGATTTAAAATTCAATCGTTTATCATAAATTTCTTAAAGATACCAAGTGAACATGGRATAATAGCTTGCTACGAGATTAGCGAAGGGAGACCGCGATTGCCCAACACCGGTTTCGCKTATCCTTGTAGTGGATTTATTTTATTTTTTCAAAACTGCGTTTTTGGAAGTCGTCCTGACTTATTATTTATTAAAACGACATTTACACAATAACACATATTATATTGTATATAATTTCAGACGCATTTTATTTCTAAATATATTACTCTGATCGCCGCCTGCGTATAATACCTATCGTTTGTTTAGAAAAAATATAATTTCAGCATGGATCATTATGTCTAAAACGACTAGGCACCGAAGATGAATAATGATTATGATTTCGATTTCGGCGGGCATGTGAAGATCTAAAAAACTAGTTATGCTGCAACCTATCTGCGCATCGCACGTTCGGCCAAAATAAATGTCGTTGGACCACTTTCGTAACATGCTGACATAATAATACCTAAATAATAATAATAATAACGTGGCTGCGACCTTTCCGTATGGACTACACCGCCTCCATTATTATGCTAAAACCAAAACTGGTATCCCCCGTTTTTTTTTTTTT